CTAATATCCGAACGGCCCGCCGCGCAAGCCGAGGGCGCGGCCGAACTTAGTCATCTTTTCGACGGACAGCTCCTTCGTCATCACGTCCGCCGGGTTCTCGTGAGTGGATACTTTGTGGATGCGAAGCCGCCCTTCCTTCACCCAGTCTTGGATGGCCAACGTCTTCAACTCCACATGTTCCATTTTCCCGGGACCTCGCTTCCGGCATGCCGCGAGTGCGCTCTGGGAGTCCGTCATCAGGAGGGGGTTCACGCCGTCGTACTTCCACTTCTTTCCCAGGCTGGGCGGCACCGAGGCTCTCGATCGCCCCGGAGCCGATGGCGTAGAGCTCGGCTTCCGCCGACGAGAGCGCCGGCGTCTTCTGGGCCCTCGCGTAGGTCAGCACCGAGCAGCCGTGCATCTGGATGGCCCCGCCGCTGACGCCCCTCCGGGTGTCCTGGTCGTCTGCCCACCCAGTCGCTGCCGGTGAAGGTCTTCAAGGTCTCCGCATCCTGGTTCGGGACCAACTTCAGGTAGCAGTCGCGCGTGCCCAAAAGGTACCGCGCAAGCTTCTTCAGCCTCCGGAGCGCTCCCTTCGTTGGCTGCTTCATGTGTTTCGAAAGCGCGTTCACTGCATGCTGTATGCCTGCGCGGTGATGGCTTACATACATGGCCTTGCCGACACACGACTTGTACACCTTTGCGCCAGAGTATCAAGGTCATCGTCGTCGTCGCTCTGCTTCTTGGCGTCCGCCGTCTCTGGCACGGCGCTGTACTTCGCATTCTCCAGGCCAAGCAACTCAGCCATGTCCGTGATCAACAGAGGGTTGCCCTGCAGCACGAAGCCTCCCTAAATCTTCCTGAGGTTCATGGCCAGCAATCTCCCCTCGTCGCCCGTCTCGTAGAGGCGCACAGCGTCCTGCATGTTGAGCTTCTCCTTCGCCTCGCCGAGGAAGGCCTCGCCCTGTGACTTCGGCCCCGTGACAAGGAAGTCGTCGATGTGCCTCCCTGCTTTCTGGTCGAACTCACCCTCGACCCTGTCGAAAACACACCCGTCGTAGTGCGACTGCTCCAGGTGCATCTCATGCGTCAGGACGCCGCTGCTGTGGGTCTCCCAAGCCTTCGGTGAACCCTTCAAGTCGGGGAAGGCCGACACTGCCTCCCATACCACATCTGGCCCTAGCCCTGCCTCTGGCGGGGGCTCGATGTACACCTTCTCCTGGTTGCCATCGGGGTTGAGAAGCGCCTGGTAGAACGCGCCGCTGCAATCCCCTATAGCTGCAATGTGGCCCTTCTTGGCCGCGTCCACCAGCATCATCTTGAGGTGCACCGTTGCTGGAGTCGCCGAGAAGAAGTCCTCGTTGCCTTTGACGGTCTGTTCGTAGCCTCTCGTAGTCCACCTGGTTTTCAGCGCCCCGTCGTCATGTTAGCTTTCGACCCACCTCCCCGAGAGGGGGATGGTCGTGGCTTCGGACCTCTTGACCTCCATGATGATCTTGCCAGGCACCTTCGTCAGCTTATCAATGTGCTTCATTCTGGCCTCCACGAAAGTGCTCGGCTCGCGGTCGTCCTCGCACGTCAAGGAGCACGGCCACTCGTCGTCTCTGAGTTGGCGATGCTTCCTCGTCACCTGCGTCACCGCGCCGCACTGGGGCCGCCTGTGGGTCTCCCAGCCTCGCACGCGCCCACGCGTCGCGCTCGGCCGCCGACTGCGGCTGCGGCGAAGTCGGTGGAATCGCCGCCGCTGCCGCTGCCTGCCCAAGGAAGATGGCGGCCTGGTAGCGCTGCAAGCTGGTCGGTGCCCCGCGGAAACCAACCACTTTTGGCCGAAAATGGTCGGTTTTTCCTTCTCCATCAACTGAGGCTTGTCCCGCGGCCACACGCGCCCTCTTGGCTCGCTCGTGAGGCTCCAGGAGGCTCCAGGGCTGCGCCGACCACGTCCATGGGCGCGCCTCCTGCACCGGGCGCGGGTGCGGCATGCGGAGCAGCCGCCGTCTCTGGGGCGTCCGGCCCGGGCGCTGGGGCCGACTGCCCTGGCGCCGCTGGCGCCGCCTGCGCCGCCGCCGGGCCTGGCGCTCGTCCAGGTGCCACTCCTGGAAGAGGTCCAATCAGGATGGGCTCCTGGTCGCTCCGGACCTTGGGCGGTCGGCCTCTGGCCACTGACGTAGCGTTCCAGGGGTCCCACTTCATGGCCTCCAGCATCGCCCGGTCCCAGCGCTTGCTCTCGACTCGCCTGCGCCGTGCTCGGCTCCTCGCCAGGCCGTTCGGGGTCCCGATGTCCCGATGAGGTGCTCGTCCGTCTTGCTATCCCTTCCTAGCCAGACTCCCTCCAGCCACGTCGTTTCGAGCTTATTGATGAAGGCCCCTGGGCGGCGGCACGCCACCGTCTCGCCCACCAGGAGTATCGGGTTCTGGTAGGGGACCCTCCTGATCTTCTCGTAGGCCGTCATGCCCGAGTCCTGCCGCTTGTGGAACTTCATGCACTGCCAGGCGGCGTGCCTCGGGAACCACGTCAGTAGCGGCGAGCCTGGCAGGATGGTCATGCCCGTGTTCGTCTCGATCTGGATCTTGTAGGTCTTCATCTGGTTCCAGATGGTGGGCACCATGCGTTCTGCTCCTCCGTTACTCTGATGGCTGTACCGTTGGGACTGCTGTAACATGACCTCGCACGGCGGCGACTCCATGGTCGATACCTTCGCCTTTACGGCTCTCATGACAGCCTCTGCCGCTGGCGCTCCATCAGACTGGATGATGACCTTTGTGTGGCCCAGCTCTGCTAGCCAGGACACGGTGGAACGAACGACGTCGACGTCTTCCTTCCCCTTGACCAGCAAGACCGACGCCCACGCGGCTCCCGTGGACATGTCCACACCCACCAGGAACTCGAAATTCGGGACATCACTGTCTCCGCTGCCCGCCTCCGCGTAGTCGAACTGGATGACGGGCATCGGCTTCTGGACGGCGGTCCGGTGGCAGGCGTCTCTGCCTTTCGCCTTGATGCAGATCTCGCACCACGGCATCGGCGGGTCGTGCAATAGGTTATGCATCTCGATATCCTCCTTGCTCGGCTCCTTCGGCCCTGGTACAGTCTGGACTGGGACCACCTCCTGCTCGACGTAGTCCACTCCTGACAGTGGCGCATGTGCTCCTGTAGGCTGAAGATCTCCCTGTACCGCTCGGTCAGCTCGGAGTGGCGCCCCACGGAAACCAACCACTTTTGACTGAAAATGGTCGGTTTTGCCCTGCCGTGGTGCCGGCTCGCCCCCCTGCCGCGCCGGGGCCGCCTGGCCCGAGGGCGCGCTGCCCGAGCTGCCGCCCGCCGAGAGCGGCGCCACTACGCCTGGCTTCTCCGCCCAACACTGCAGCGCGTAGTGGTTCTTCACTCTGTCCACGTTCACCTCGCCAGCCGCTTCGTGGTATAGGGTACCTCCGTTCATGTTGAAATTGGCGTTCCTGTTCGAGTCGTAGCCGCAGAACTTGCCGACGCTCAGGATGGGCCCCTTCACGTCGTACACTTGGAAAGTGATTACGATATTCTTGCCATCATTCAGCATCAGCTTGACAGAGCGCTCGCCGTAGTGTCTGATCTTGTGGCCGTTGGCTGCCTCGAGATTCGGGTCGGCGCTGCGCTGTATCCCACACCAATGGGAGTCCTGTGGGCCGCAGACGTGCTCGTCGGCACAGATATCCACAAGGACTGACATAGGAAGCCATGGACCAACGTTGTATCCAACGTAGATCACCTGGTTCGGTCGGGCCGTGATGGCAAAGAAGTAGCTGGTTTCGAAATCGTCCTCGTGCTCGTGGTACGTGAGCTTCGCCACGTGGCCCAGGGCTTGGCTCGCCGAAGTCGACGGTGCCCCTGCAGACGAGGCCACTGTGAGGGCGTCTGCTGCTGCCTTCCAAGCTATCCAGGGCTCCTGGCTCGTCAGCTCGTTGATGCCCTTCTTCGTGCCTCGCTTGCCCTTGCCCTTGGAGTCCTGCGGCTTGCCCTTCGGGTTGTGCCAGCAATCGGCCGCCAAGTGGCCCTTCTTGCGGCATATGAAGCACTCCGCGTCCTTGATCCAATCGGCCTTCATGAGGATCGCGTTACCGTTATTGTCGTCCTTGCCATTACCTCGGCCTCGTTTGTCCTTGCCCTTGGCGTCCTTGCCCTTCCTCGTCAGCGCGTCGACCTCCAGGGCGGTTGGGCCTCGCTCTCGTCGCGGCCTCGGCGGAACTGGCACGCCGGCCAAATACTGCGCATTGCTCATCATGAATTGTAGCGCCACCATGGTCATCTGCTCGTAGGTGTCCAAGTGCTGCCATCTGTAGAAGCGCCTTCACCGACTTGGGAGCCTTGTCTATGAACAGTGCCTTCTTCATGGACGCGTTGAACCGGTCGCCCGAAATAGTCTCCCACTTGCGCACCGTCTCCTCCCACTCGCCCAAGGCCGTCTCGTAGCCGTCGCTAAGATCGAGCTCATCAAGCTCTGTACTCTGGGCGCCGTGTTCGGTTCGTACATGTGGGTCAGTGCTCGCCAAGCCCCAGCTCCATTTGCCTCGCGATTTCCACGTAATACGGCCAGTGCCGGCCACTTGACGCTCATGACCAAGATGTGGAACAGCTTTTTCGCCGCCGCCACTCCTCCAGCACCCAGCAGTTGCTGGATGTAGTCTAATGTGATATCTGGGAGTGCTGCGCTCTCCGCCGCCTCGATCAGGTGGGTCATCTCGGGAGCCTGCACCGCCGCGTAGCTCCGCATAACGAGGCCCCACTTTGTCCATTCATCTTCCTTGCCGCTGAAGGTCGGCGGCCTCGCCAACCTCAGCAGGTCGTCCGCCTCTGCCATCTTTGCACAAGAGGCGCCAGTGCCCGAGCAGACACCTGGCTAAGGGATGCGCTACTGGAACTAAAAATGTGTCGTGGATCTGACAGCGCTCCGCTGCATTGAAAATGGCGTGGCGCTGATATCGATGACACCTTTTTGAGCCTTAAGGGCTACGGAGGCCGTTAACAACAAGCAATGGTAGTCCGTCACACGAGGGACGGGCGACAGAGCAAACGGCGGGATCGCATCACTCAAAGTCCCACCATCCGTCACAATAGACTGGACAGCAGAGGTGGCGACGGTAGAAAAGGATGCCCAGACAATGCGCAGAATACAAGCAGATGTTCGAACGTGGCTTAAGACGCAAGCTGATCTCAGGCTTTTGGACCATGTGAACGAGAGCTTCTGGTGTGCTCGGACCGATGCGTGCACATTAAACAGATGCAGCTGCCCTGAATGTCGAGATCAATTCGGAAACCGAACATTCACCCCAAAGTGTTGCAGAGTGCAAATAGTGTTTCGGCCATAGCCTGGGCATCAGACCGATCTCAGTCCCGATCCTCTAGACTAGAGCTTCCAATTCTGCTAAAGCTATCGGCACGCGGGCTCTGCAGCTGCCCCGCTAGATCAACTGGAAAAACCGAGATGTGCCCACAAAAGCTACGCAGTGCACAAAAGAACTATTCAGTAGAAGACGCCCTCCAGCTGTTAGACCACGTGAACGGGAGCTCCTGATGCTGCTGAGCCTATTCGCCAACGTTAAACCGCTGCCGCCGGGACCCTCGTAGAGCTCTTAACCAGCGAATTAGTGTTCAGATTACCAGGAGAAAGCTGGCTTGAATAGCAGCTTGAAAACTCACATGATCACTTTTGGGTGGTTTTTACGAAATCGATGCCTACGTCTTTTGAGAGTAATACTGCAGCTACGGACCTGAGAATTCGACAGACAGACGCGGCGAAATTCACTACACGTGAGAACATACTGGTTCTCAAAACGAGCTTCAAATCTATCACAATCTCCAAAAGGGAACCGGCGGTAAACCGTCGACAAGGTTTTTTGCGGATTGCGGTCGCGCGGCCAGGCCCTCATGGGGCAGCGAGCGGGCTCAGAAAGAGCCAAGAAACACAGCAACACTGCCGAGCCAGGATGGCAGAGGCCTCTGCATCAGGGGCCCGCCGAGCCCGTGGGCGTAGGCATCGCCAAAGAAAAACACTCAAAAGAGACGATACGCAGCGGCAAAACCGCCTCGCAACCAACTCCAAACACACGCTCCCGATCGTGCCGAGCCATGGTGGCTGAGGCATCCGAATGCACTGCGTGCAGTAACGGCTCGATGGGCAGCACCCCAAGCGAGGCCAAAGAAAAAGGAAGGCACCCCAAACGAGTCCGAGAATGCGCACAGGAATCCCGAGACGGCCGAGCCAGAGGCTTAGGCATCAAGAATCGAGACTGCCGAACCCAGGGGGCGTAGGCATGTCGAATGAGAGTGCAAAGAAAGACACTGACGCGGCCAAAATCTCAATCAAAGCATCACCTTCGAAGCACGATGCAAACAAGTCCGAGCAGCACACCGTACAAGCGGCACTCCGAACGAGTCCGAAAAGAGAAAGGGCGACACACAGCCCAGAGCCAGTGTGGCTCAGGCATATCGACAACAAGCACAAGGTCGTAAACGAAATCAGAACGTAGTACTCCGAACGAAGCCGAAAAAAGAAAAGAGAATGGGCGACTCACACTCCCGCAATATCAAGTCCGAAACGGAACACCGTGCCACGAGACTGCCGAGCCAGGGTGGCCGAGGTATCAGGAATGACACATGCCGAGCCAGTGTGGCTTAGGCATGTCG